TTTTTAAAAAAAAAAAAAAAAAAAAAAAAAGAACTATGTCACTGCTGTTCAGTTTTAAAACAGGGAAAAACATAAACAAAAAATATGCATAGGCAGCTCGTGGGTTGTATGCGTCTCCTGGTAGCCTCTGCTACTGTCCTATTTAGATACACTTACTGCCCACTCCTGATATTCTGCCAATTGGTAGCTTGGATGCTGCTGTAGAGCATTACATGCCAAAACAATTAGACACAAAGATAGTCGTCGTCCCCCGCCCCCGGTGCCATCACTCTGCTTAACACTTAATTCCCACAGCACTGTCTCATTTCTCATCTTTTTTCCTCTTCTCATTTTTCCTACTATCTTCTATTGATTTCTTATGATTTATCAATTATTGTTGTTTGTAACTTATGATTAATGATTGTAATTATGTTTATGACCTATGACTTGCTGTTCATATGTACACTGTGAGCTTATGCACCCGAGACAAATTCCTTGTGGTGTCCGATTACACCTCGGCTCTTTTATGACTCATGGACTTCAACTCCCAGAATTCCTGAGTTGAAGTCCATGAGTCATAAAAGAGCCGAGGTTGCCTACCCCTGCACTTGGTCAATAAAGAATTCTCTTCTCCTCTCCTCACTTCTGTAGCACACACAAACTTCAGCACTTGACATTACCTATTTTCTTTTTCTGCTGTCGGCCAGCTGATTCTGTAATTGTTTCCTTCTTTTTTTCCACTATAGAGATTAGACAACACAGTCAGTTATTTTCATTTCAATTCTTCCTTAAAAAGCCACCTTTCTTCTCATTGCTTTGCACCCACACCAAAAATCTAAAGATATTATGAGTAGTTTATGGGCGTATATAAGTGGAAATCTGTAAATAAATGTGTGCCTCATCTACCTGTGCAATTCAGAGGATAGCAGGAAGACCAATTTCCCCCACCCAGAAAAGCTTCCCAGTCTTCTAATTATAGCAGAAAATGAAAGACTGAAAAAATAACATGCTATGGGAACGCCTGCTTTGCCAAAATCAGTTTATCTTGCAATGAATTATAATTTGCAAGCACAATTGGTCTTACTGAGGGAAAGAGATGAAACTTGCTCAGAATATTCTCTTCTATTGGAAGTTTGCTCATTTTCAGGGAAATAAATGTGCAGGTTCAGAATCAGGCTTCCTGCGTATTTTATGGGTTTTATAAGAACATCCCATATTTATTTTTTGAAAGAATTGCATTGTAAGGTCCTGCCTCAGCTGTCTACTTAGGAAAGCATGACTCTTGAAACAAGCGTTATTTCAAAAGGATCTTTTACTGAATGAAAATGTTTGCAGTTTCTGCACAAATCGTTAGCCTAATTTCCAATTGTTCAAATCCCATCCCAAAACTCCAGTCCATCAGGAGCTGGCTTGATGGTATTATGGGAACTCCCAAGACGAGAAGGTGATAACAAGTTGTCTTCTTGGCGCCTGACCTTGTCTTCTTGGCGCCTGACCTAAGCTGAAACTGGCGGAAAAGGAGTCCATCCAGATGGCCCTGATGGCCCATTCCCCCTCCCTTTTGATCCAATTCATCAAAGGGAAAGCAACAAATTCTTCAAACCCCAAATAGCCATCCCCCTCCCCTCGGAATGACAGCATTCCGAAAGAGATCTGATATACATATTTGCATTTACAGTTGCCATTTCTGTATGGATTACGCCTGTTCAATTTCATATAACAGAAAATTGTGAGAAAGAAGAATCTTTACTGATTTGGGAGAAAATTAACTAATCTTCCAATTGTTTTTAATATGACTGCAGGTTTCATAAATACTTGCAGGCACTGTTGCTTGGTATATATATATTAAAAACTATCAAATTACAGATGTACAAATCTTGGGAGTTACCATTCATATTGATAGGTTGGGGGAGAGAAAATTATTCCTGAGAGCTCAAAATACATCCAAACTGTCATTCTAATGTTCACCTTGCTTACAGAAGTTTCTTTTCTACTTCATTTTGGATCAAAGAGTCCCAGTTAATTTGCAAATTTTTGCATAAACTCATTTGTAAGATGTACAAATCCAGAATATGCATAAAATTGCAGAGTTTATATGCCAGCTAGCTAGCTAGCTTTGCTAGCTATTGTTTTATTTACCATTCCTTTGCAACATGTATCTCATTTGGGGAGCACTGGCTGCTGGGGTTATTGTATATAGATCACAAACCAACCACAAAGATCTCTAACTACAACTCAGTCTAGCAAAAAATGTAACTCAGCCTTACATAAGAATGTAAACAAAAAGATGTAGGCAGGCAATTTAGCTTAAGTTGGATACACTATTTGACAGCCATTTTTGTATAATTCAGTCATCCCCCCCAAAAGTGGATTACGAATTCTTAGTGTCTTTTATTATCATCTATGTCAGGGGTGTCAAACTGCTGGCCCGCAGGCCGGTTTCATCATATCGAAGCCACGCCCACCCCATTGCCAGCAATGCAAAAAGAGTTGCAATAGGTCATGATACGACACATCACGTGATGTGGCAAGTTTGACACCCGTGATCTATGTAATCAATCCTGTGATGTATTATTTTTAACTGGAAACATCCATTCTACTTTGCACTGTACTTTCTCAATTAATTATAACACTTATTCACATTACTTAATATCAGCAGTAGCAGTTGAGGATGAAAAGGATTCCAAGGTTGCCAAACCTAAATTGTAAATTATACCAACAATATCTACAGTATTTATTGGAGTGAATTTATAATGCCATAAATTCGTTTTACCTATTCTATAGGATAAAATATTTCATGCTGTTATTGATTTATTCTGTTATTAAAATTTAAAATTATATCTATTATTCTCTTGAGCAGCTCAAAAAATACAGTAAATAGAGTGGCTAGATTGATTTAATATATAAAAATATAGCCACTGTATGCACTGAAGTGAGCTACAATTTATAAAACCTTAAGCCTTTCAATAAAAATTGCTAGTCAGAAAAGGTGCTGTTAAGCTCCTTCAGATTCACATTCCTCCTACAATGTCTCCATTCACAGAGGGATTCTGCTTTAATACATAACACAAATCAATATCCTTTTCAAGAAACACTTATTAGTCTCACATGAAACTATTACAGTATAATTACTATAATACTATAGTATTGTATTAATCACAATTAAAGATCATAAAAATATATTTGATTTGATTTGAACTAATATAGGAAGCATATCTCAACTTAGTATTTGAGTTATGATAAGACTAAATTTAGCATTTATTTGCAAACATACTCACATTTTTTACTCTGTTTCTCCACTTCCGCTTTCAGTCTTTTATACTTATCTGTTCTATACACCAGAACCCATGTTATGCCTGAAATAAACATAAGACAGAAAAAGATGTACAACAACTGGGCAAGAACACAAAAATCTTCAGACCAGTGGGTTCTATCACTGGGGCAGAATATCTAAAGCATTTTTTTTTTGCATTTTGATTAATTGGGGTTTGCCCATTTCACCACTTAAAACATTCAAAGTCTATTCTCATAATTTAAAACTCAACTCTGTGCCTTCTACTTTTGGACTGCAGCTAGCATTCTGCAATGTAAAGCCTGATGTGGCCCTTGAACCAACATTAGTTATTCATATCTGGCATAACAAGTAATAAGAGCCTTGATTGTATAGTGAGAAGAAAGTCTCACACCTGGTTAATGTTTTATGGTTAATGTCAAGGTTCCGACTGACAAACCCAACCAAGCAAACACCTTCCAGACATTCTGATCTCTTATGGCTGCCATGGGTCCCATTCTCTGTCGGGGCTGAGGTAATGTCTTTAAACAGCCACCGCAGGCTGGCTGGATCCAACTCTGGGAGGCAGTTCTAGTCTCCTTGTTGGCTTTCTCCCTCGCAGTTCCAGGCTGACAAACCTCTCCCTCAGCTGCTCAACTGATGGGCTGCAGCAGGCCATCAGAAACCCCCACTGCATCGAGTCTTCCCACTCAGTGGCTCACTTCTCTTTCCACCTCGGGACTTGGGTGGGCTCCAGCCCCAGGGGAGAGTAGTGGGAACTCGGCTTCACCCGCCTTTGGCATCACAACCTTCTGTATCTCCTCTGCTGTCTAGTGTTGGCTCCCCGTCAACACAACCCCATCTCTCATTGCCAATGGCTCCTTTTGGCGGGTCATCATCACATGAGCTCCAAAGTCCATTTGGCCCGTGGCTTGGCCGTTCTTCGCCGGACCTATCCTGCCCATCTTCCCCCGAGTCTTCACATCTCTTCCAGAAGCTACCAGACAGGCTTGCAGGGACTCAGGACCCCTTGAAGAAATTCTTCTTAAAGGAGAGCTGGTTTAATATCAATGTTCCAACTGACAAACCGAACCAAGCAAACACCTGTGAGACATTCCGATCTCTTAATATAAAACTTTATTGAGTACATCACTTTGGCACTAATGAAAGCAAAACAGCTCTGGCAAGACTCCTCCCAAACTCATATAGTAAAAGCATTGAATCCTCCCTCTGGGTGAAGTCACGTTGCCCAACCAAGTGGAAAAATATTGTTATGAGAAAGTATCTCTAGGTTTGGCCAGACACCTGGTGTAATGTCCTTGAGTCTCACAATCTGGCTTCTTAATCTTTGAAGTCTGCATTCCAAACCTCTCCCCTCCCCCCAAGTTCGTTAGCAAGCTGAGAAATAATATTTGTCGCACCAGCAAAACCGTGCACGTTTAATTGTCATTTGCATATAAATGTGGATACTTCAATTGTGACAGTTTTGACTGAACAGAATTATATTTCTAACTATTTTTAGCTCCAAGCAATGGATCAAGGAATTCAAATATGACTATTTTAATCCTCCCTGGCGAAATAAGCCAGCCAAGGTCTGAGGTGGATGGAAGAGGCATTTCAGGTGGGCACCTCTTTCTGAAACACCTGGGAAGTCATCCAGCACCTTTCTGATTCCCTTCCCTATTCCGCTGCCCTTTCGGCTGCAATGCAAGCATCCACTTCCACTCTCTCGACGTGAAAAAAGTCGGAGCCCCTATATTTATCCCGCCAGCTTCCCGTCAGAAGTCCAAAATCTACCCTGGCATGATCATGGAATGTCAATGCCAATACTGCTTGAATTTGTACGAAGTTGCAACAAATACAATTAAAATTGGTTAAAGGAAGAAGATCCTGAACTGTAGCCACCATCCTGTTCTCCTCCCTTCTCACTTGGAGAATTATACCCTCCCTTTCCCCACTCACCCTCCGCTAACAAAGCGGTGCAGACCGAAATGAAGACAATAAGGATAGTATCAGCGAACATAGTACTCATCTCGCAGATTCAGCAGCAACAGTTCCTTTCCGGAAACTAGGCCCAAACGGAAACTAGAGCATATCGATATTTACGTTCTAGAGTGCGTAACTTCTGAGTTGACCGGAACTCCCTGCATGACTATGCGCATGTCTATCTATTTGAGTTGCATTGCCACTGCGGGCGCAGGAGATCCGGGGCTCGGCTGGACTCGAGAGCAACAAAAGAAGGAGCTGTTTACAAAAGTGGGGGGAGGGGAGATGTGTGCAAGTGTGGAGGCTTGGCATCAACGAGTGAAAAGGTTCAGGAGCCTATTATATTAAGAGGATGGATGTTGGAGGTTGCAAGGCGCATGTTTTACTGCACTAGTGAAGCCGCACTTGAAATACTGGATCCAGTTCTGGTTACCATGACACAAAGAAGATGCCCCTAGAAAATGCAGAAAGGGTCTAGAAGCTAAACTTTGTCATGAATGGTTAAGGGACATATGCCTAACCTATCAAAGAGAAGGATTAGGAAGTGATATGATAGCTGTCTTCCAGTACTTGAGGGGTTATCATAGAGGAGAGGGGACTAATTTATTTTCCAAAGGACCAAAGGGCAAGATAAGTAATGAGTGGAAACTTGTTAAAGATCCAGCCTAGAACCAAGGAGGAATTTCCTGACAGAACATTTAATTTTGCCTTTTGAAATTGGTGCTCCATCAGTGGAGGTTTTCAAGAATATGCTGGACAACCATTTGAGTGGAATGGTATAAGATCTCCTGTTTTGAACAGCAGCTTGGACTAAAAGTCCTCTGATTCTGTGTTCTGTGACTGACTTCCAGGCAGCATGATGCAATTGTCTAAGCAGATCCATCCTCACATTTTACAACAGTGGAGCTTGTCAAGGTAGTGATGTGAGGTCCCTTCCAACCCTATAATTTTACGATTCTATTGTGGAAGGAAGCGGAAAGGCGAGGGAGAAGGCAAGAGAGAAGCTGAATTTAAGAATGAGGTACAGGAAACAAAAATTTTGCAATTTCAACAATTGGATTTTTTGCAGGAAGTGACCATGTAATCTAGGGTTTCAAGATGCTGCTGAAAAACAACTTGGAGCATAGTCATATACATATACTGAATATCAGGACAGCCAATTTCAAAAGCTGTAGAGAAATATACGTAGAACTACTTGACTTTCAGTTCAAAGGGAACTCAGGAGAGTTGGAAACTTCTGAAAATAAAGATACTAGAAGTATGTTTATCTCCCATTCCAATGAGATGGGACAGTTTGCAAAACCAATGTATATGCAGTTTTAACAGTGTTAAGAGTTAAATGACCAGAATAAAAGATCTGTAATCACTAAGTTGTATTAGAAAGCAGCTATCTGCAGGAAAACAATATTGTATGGTCCAAAGAAATTTAGACTTTAAAAGGAAAAAATGTCAATAGAAAAAGGTGGGTTCATTACTAGCAGAAGATAAAAGATAGTAATAAATGAAGGTCATAGGAGTAATGACCCAAGGAGATAGTTTCGGGAACACCTGACTGTTGTGATTCCAGGAGACCAATTATACCCCATTTTTTTTTTTAAAAAAATGTTAAAGATTAATAGACTGGATGTGTGTCAAATGTGCAAGAAGGCTGATGGAGAGTCCTAAAGCATGCCCTGTTCCCTTCGCTACATTAAGATATGTGAAAGACTGGTAAACTTGCCTTATGGTACCTTATGGTATCTTGCCACATATTTCAACACTTCTGCCCCTTCTTCCTATCAAAATCTTTGATAAACTGAAATCAGAATACAGAATAAAAGTTGGAAGGGACCTTGGAGATTTTCTAATCTAACCCCCTGCTCAAGTAGGAGACCCTATATACCATTTTGGATACGTGGCTGTCAAAACTCTTCTTTAAAATCTCCAGGGATGGAGCACCCACAACTTCTGGAGGCAAGCCATTCCACTGATTAATTGTTCTCATGTCAGAAAATTTCTCATTTCTAAGTTGGATCTCTCTTTGATAAGTTTCCATCCGTTATTTCTTGTTCTGACCTCAGATACTTTGGAGAATAGGTGGAGCCCCTCTTCTCTGTGACAGCCCCTCAAATACTAGAAGACTGTTATCATCACCCCTAGTCTTTCTCTTCATTAGACTGGGCATACCCAGTTCCTGCAACCTTTCATGTTTTAGTCTCCAGTTCCCTAATTATCTTTGTTGTTCTGTACACTTTTTCTAGAGCCTCAACATTTTTTTTGTATTGTGATGATCAAAAGATGCAGTATTCCAAGTGTACTTCTATTAAAATAGTATAACATGGCACTAACTCTTCAGGTGACCTTGATACTATCTTGTTGATGAAGCCTAGGACCGCATTGGCTTTTCTGGCAACTGCAGCCCAATGCTAGCTAGCTCATACTTAAGTGGTTCTCCACTAGGACTCCTAAACCCCTCTCACAATTACTACTGTTGAGCCATGTACAACCTACAGCTGTCTTTTGATTTTTCTTGCCTAAATGTAGGACCTTACTTTTCTCACCTCTGAATTGCATTTTGTTGGATAGGGCTCAGTGTTCAAGTCTTGTCAAGCAAATGCATGAAGAATAAATAGGAAATATTTGTAGGCATTATTCTTATTCTTAATGTTCTATATTCTATCCTATAAAACCATTCCTAGGCCTTTTAGAAAAAGGAAGATAGTGGGCAGTGTATTTTTTTTCTATTATTGGTTAGTGACAAATAGCAATTCCAAGTTCTGTAGTTTTCTCCCACTTGATGTAAATTTCAAAATGCCTTATGTCAGGGGTCTTCAAACATGGCCCTTTTATGACTTGTGGACTTCAACTCCCAGAATTCCTCAGCCAGGGTGCATTCTCTCTTGGAATGACGAGGCTCATCTGCGCAAACCGTCTGGGGTAAGAGGTGGAGAGAAGGGCAGTGCCTGGCAGAATATCATGTTGAGTGCGTGCGCCAAGCCGCGACTTGGCTGGAAGCAGGAGAGGCTTGTGAGGCCAAGTCAACAAATCTTCCCGGACTAGATATGCTGAAGCACAGAGACTATGGCGGGGGACAGCGAGCAGCAACCCCAGCGCTATCGCAAGTTCGTTGGTGGAAAAAAAGCCTTTCCTCATTGGACTTAGCGGGGGAACAGCCAGTGGCAAGGTGAGCAGTTCCATTGCAAGGTGGATAATAAAAATGCAGCAATATTTTCCAGAGCTGGGCAGCGCGCCTCTTAAGACACGCTAAAGTTCCTCTCCCAGATGTTGACATTACTGACATTAAGCACTAGATTTGGGATTAAATATAGCTGCTCCCGTGGGTGAATAGTATTTTTTTTATTACACGCAGTGTGTGTGTGTTTGTGTATGCAGTGTTTCTACCACATGCGCAAAATAATTTAGTTCTCAAATTAATCCCGTGCATGTGTTTTGGGAGGCACTTCCTTCCTGTCCTGTCGATGCACCGGCGGTGTGTGTGGGGGGGAGAAACATGACGCGAGTAGACCAGTACATCCCGATTTTGCTCTTCGCAATCGCTCGAGAGATTCCTGAGAATCTTAGGTGCAGGAAGGGGCGCAAAGAAGATCTAACTGTCCTTGCGATCCTGCAAAGCGACTCCATCCCAAAACGTGCCTTCGAGTTTTCACCGACACTTGGCTCTCTTACAATATCCTTTTTTTTAAAAAAAATACGTTTTATTTTTTTTTTACATAATCACCTTAATATTTGGTAAACATCGTGTTGTCAGGGTTTATATTTAAAAAACAATAATAATTAGATTCTATAATTCTATAGTCCACATAATAGTTTTGCTTGATGTTCTCTTCTTCCAAAAATGTTCTCTTTTGCCAATCTTGAATTAATAACAATTCTTATTATTTAGGTAAATAACAATTAAATATAGACATTTTTCTAATATTTCTGCAAATAATAACCACATTGATATACAGTAACCCTTTTCTAACTGATCATCTTGATTGCCTTATCATAGATCCTGTTTAAAATTCTTATTTAAGTTTATTTTCCCACAATATTTGTAAGGACCCACCTCACTTTACATCTTAAGAAGACAGAATTCTTGGAATATTTCTTCCAACAGGCATCTTTATTAAGAGAAAATGATGGCAGGCATGCTAGACAGGATCTGAGAAATTCTCTCCCATCCTTCAATGTTTTAAGCGTTCCCAAGCAGCCCCCGACCCCACAGTTCTTCCAGGCGACGATCCTTGTTCCCCCCCTTTTTCCTTACTGCTGGCAAAAGGGAGACTTCAGAGAGCCAGTAGATGAAAGGTGATGGCCATATTGTTATGGTCAGTCCTCTTGGTGAGAATCAACATCCAGTCCTTTTGAAGTTTTAATGAAGGAAGTGAGAGCCATAAACCCCCCCTGCTCATCCCCCTTCCCCTTTGTAGTATGACAGAATCCAGAGAGAGCAGAAATGGGTTTTTTCCCAGAGTAGATAACTAGAAATGAAATATAATTGGATTCTGACATCCTGCCCCCCTTAAAAATAAGAGAGATCCACCTGTAAAGAAAACAAAACAGGTATAAAGGTTAGTCTGGCTTGTTAGGATACTCTGTATGAAACTTCTTTAATAGCTTCGGGGCTCTGACATGACATTTATGGACCCACTCATTTTGTGAGGCAGGGAGGTGTTTCCATGCTACTAGGTATTGAGTTGCCCCAGGATATCTCCTAGAATCTAGGATTTCCTTTATCTCGAAGTGTTGTTCTCCTTCCACCATGATTGGAGGTGGTGGTGGGGGGATTTTTGGCCGTAAAGGTGACTGATGTTCTCTTTTCAGCAAACTGCAGTGAAAAATTGAGATTTTTGGGTAATTCTAATTCTACTGTTACTGGTTTTATGATTCTTTTAATTGGAAAAGGTCCTATATAATTTGGTTCAAGTTTTTTACAGGGCTGTGGGGATTTTAGGTATTTTGTAGATAAGTACACCATTTCTCTTATAATGAATGGTGTAGGCTCAACCCTTTTTTATCGGCTTGTGCTTTGTATGCATGCCTAGCTTCATCTAGTGCTTTTCTAACTATTGGCCAGGTGTTTTGTAATTGTTCCATCCATTCTTTCAGTGATGGGATCGCCGGTTCGTTTGGGGTTAGTTCTGGCATGGGGTTGAAACCTTGACCGGTAGCTATTTGAAAAGGAG